CACACACACACACACACACACACACACACACACACACACACACACACTGCTCTCAACACAGGTATTCAGAGGAGCCACCCTGGAGAATTCACTACTGGGCAATATGGTCAGTCGGCTGGATCCTATCAGACAGCCACTGACCAAGAGAAGATCTGACACCACGTATGCACCAAGGCCTTTTACAACGAGCTGACTTTAGATTGGTTTACATGTTGTACATGTGTGATAATCAGCTTGCACTAAATGTTTAGTCACCTTTAGTTTTTTTTTTGTGTGTTGTATTCCCTGTTGGGTGCAGTTTCCAACCGGAGCTGTTTTTCCATTTATTCAATGTTGCATTCAAACACTTCCAGCTGAGACGTAAGAAGCTACGTGTTGCACTTTGAGATGCTGTCAGAAAATGTTACCTTAAAACCCAAATCTAACTAAACCTGGACACTGTAAAATAATACATTTGATATTGTATTTAAAAGGTTGCAGCTTTAATGCCCAAGTAGATTGTGGTGAACCTGAGACATGCAAACACCTCAACAAGAAAATAGATCAAGCTTACAACAATGTTACCACATAAATATTATGTCATTAGACAAAAAAGTCCTGATGCTAGGAATGTAGGGATTCAATCTTTACTGCAAAGATATGGATTGGAAAATGATTGGTAATAATGTCAAGTATATCTTAATGAGATAAAATATGCAAACATGCTCCTATAAACTACCACCCTTCCAAATAATCCCCAGATTTGAGTTTAAAACTAATTCTAATGCCTAACCTTAATACTAGATGCAACTGTAAACCTGGTTGAAGCCCTAAAACTAACCCCAGAAATAACCTATGCTTACACAGATGACTTCTCTTTGAAAGGTTTATCTCATCTTACTGAATAACGTATGATGAGTGCACTCACTCACTCACACACATTTGTTCACACTATGCTTAAATGCTGACTGCACAAGTTGCAAGGAAACACACGTGTACACATGGGTAGTTAACGGTTTTGTCAAGTGAACTCAACAGGGATATTTACTCTGACCCACACACATGCAGACTACAAACGTCATGACTGTCTGAAGAGCAAAGAAGGTAACTGCCATGCAGCTGGCCAACCAGGGGCTACTCTCACATGAATGTGTCCGCCCCCCCCCCCCCCCCCCACACACACACGCTACTAGGTCAAGTCCCAAAGAAGTAGGGCAGAAATGTCGCATAGACTCTCACGCTCGACGGGTGAGTGCTGACATCACGCCGTGGCATCAGGTTGGCGGCTGCAGCCGGACTAAAACTGCTCAAGAAGGAAGATCTTGATCAAAAAAAATCACAAGTCATAAAACATCATCAAAATGGAAGCAACATGTAAGACACAACTCAAAGTCTTTTTAAATGTTAAAATTATTCCCAGGTGCCTTTTTTGACCAAACAGTGAACAAAGAACAGTAAAAGAAACGAAGCAACGTGAGGCCAAATATCATCGACTGTACAAGCTTTAAGTTAAAAGCGATGCCATTAAAGTAACCGACTGTGGTGTTAGGTTCCCCACCCTTTATGTTTCCTATTCAGCTTTATGTCACAAATGGAAATTTTCCAACACATGTCAGCCATCCTTTATTTCATTTCCTTTCTTTCCTGTCGTCTGTCGGATGCCCCATTAACTGTCCTTGAGCTCCCCTGGCACCCATTCTCCTGAAGAGCGATTTAACCAGCATTTTCTCTGGTCCTCATTCCATCTAATTAAGTCTATACAGCTTAACTGCATCCTGTCTTGTATCTGATTATAGCAAATAGCAGAAGCAATATGATGGCAGGCAACGGTAACTGTCTTACTCCGCCAAGTGGCAAAGAAAAAACAACTTTATGCATCAGATGTTTCCAGGTGGGCTTAATGCAACATGAAGTTGTTCTTACATGATCTGAAGTTGAGCACTGGCTGTAAGAACTCTCTGATGTGCCCGTGCACAGTCAGTCTTTTAGAAAGAGCATGTGCATGCATGTGTAAGGTGCTCATGTCAATTCATGGGCACACAGGGAAGAGCACACACACTCACATTCATACATGCAGACCACAGAGGGTCAGAAATGTCAGGAGGGTGTCCTGGTGAGAGAGGGATTATATATATATATATATATATATATATATATATATATATATATAAACATAAACAATGACAAAAAACATTCTGTTTTCTGGGTTTTTGTTTTTTTGTGTAACCCCAGACCAGGTACAACATCACAGTGTCCAAGCAATCTGCCTTTTTGGGGCTTTTTAATTCACCTCCATTGCATTTGGGTGGAGCCCAATAAACTAAGTCATCTGCATGGCTACGTACCTCCGCAGTAAATAAGGCAAATGTGTTCTTTGTATTTTAGATGAACCAACCAAAGTCATCTTTGCGTTGAATGTTTTTTATGTGTTCCTGAACAATGCAATTCATTGTTTTTTCTCAAGCATATTATGACAAAAAGGTGGCGTAGCTTCTGTACCTTTTGCTGAGGATGGTTCAATAATAGATCTTTGAGGCTTTTGTTTGGGGATATTGCCTCACATTAAAATTACATTTTTCTTCAAAAGTTTATCCTCTTCATCTTTTCATAAAGCTACCCTTGTTATTGCAGCTCTAACAGTGGATCTAATATTGAGGAGCTTTTGTGTCTTCCTATAAAAGTCAGTGGTCAATATATCCTTATCTCATTTTCATATATCGCGCCGGTCCCATAAGATAAGACAGCGATACCAAATTTGGACATGTGTTATGAAAAAAATCCCTTTACCTTTAACAAAAATGAGAGGGAAGGAGATAGAGAAGTGTTGTCAGCGAGAGAGAGAGAGAGAGAGAGAGAGTTAGAGGGACTGACAGGCAGACAGACGGTACTTGTTTAGCATTGGAAATGAGTGGCAAAGCAGGCAGCTAATTTATGGAGGGTCAGGTGTGCCTGTTTAGCGGTAATGGGCAGTGAGAGTGCTCTAACCAGTCCCCTGTCTCACCCAAGCATGCGCATCCAGAGACCAGCAGGACGTGGCAGACGTGCTGGAACTCCCAGGCCCAACATTATCACAGAAACGTGGTCGCAGTACTGCTGTGTCAGACACAGCTCTCTGTGTGTCTGCATGCGTCAGTGCTGATAAATACTCACTGTGGCCGGATCACATTCTGCGTAGTGGCACAGGCTGGTTACTCCAGGTCATGAAACAGACTCACCTTTCTCACATATTCGCTACAGTTCCCTAATTGAACAATGCTTCTTCCTTTAAGCCGTTCTGTCTCTGTCTGTCTCTCTGTCACTTTCAATTCCATCTTCAATTAAAGGGGGACTGTGTTGATTTTACACACCAAAGTCTGTTTACAAGTCTCGGTGCCATAGGTCTTGTGAGTCGAAAAGGAGCTGCACAATGCTTGCACTCTTCACCACCAATGTCACTTATATCACACCTAGATAGCAAAGAACAGAAAAGGTATGCAGAGAAAATATCGGCTTGATTTGATGTGATCAGTGTAGAATCTCTCAAACACAACTTTCAAACACAAAACAGCAAAGGTAAGACATCATTTAGTGTTATGGCTGTGTTGAAATTCTTAAATGTCTGC